TTATATGTACCCTAATAGCAGAATGCTTCTACTAATAACAATTCATACCTTAAATAACAATTTGTCTGTTAAAAATAAGGTTCTGTTATGTAACAAAACTTTTAATGGGCATGAAAAACCACAACATACCATTAGATGTAAAGAATAAATTAAAAATTTCATTAAACTAAAAAAACAAAATGACAAAATCTATAACATCTTCAATATAAAACATTATGGCTCATAAACGTCAAACAGTATGATATACTACATTTGAACTTACCTATACGGAACAAGTTACAGTTATAAAATTTTTGATGCATATGAACAAGTTGAATATCCAGATAACTTTAAAGTAGCAATGCAGTGAACAAAACACGGGTAGGGACAATCAAGTTATATTAAGCACGAAATTACAGAGTTATTTGGTAAAATAGAAAAACCATACTCTAATACTTAATTTGCAAAATATTCAATAATTGTCTCGAACTTCATTGTTCTTGCATTTCCATACTAATTGCTTTTTATTCCCGTTTTTCTTTCTTGATCTTCCCCATCTTCTGCCGCCAGACATTACAAACAATATGAAATTGTTATTTTTATTGCGATCATAAACCGATTAATATTAGACCACTTATAAAAACCTAAAAGCACTGGACGGATGTTTTGTCATAGTATTGAACTTCTTCAAGATCCTGTACGCGAATTCAGTAACCAGCGCAACTAATAAGTTCCCAAGTGAATTTAATACAAAGTGAATGATCGGTGTTCTTACCAACCAGTTAACTAATAAAACTCAAAAACCTTCTTCCTGAGTAATATTCATCAATGAATCAAGTGTTAACAATTCAGAATATCAAACTGAAGCTCAAATTCATCTGTTATGGTACTTCAGGATTTCATTATAGTGATCAACCACTTGAAATAGATTAGTAAAAGTATTATACGCCTTGAATCAACTACATTATTGTTTATGACCTATAAGGATCAATATAATCTTCTTCATTATTATATTTTAAATTATCTGATATTTATGGAACCAATGAGAGACAAAAGAAGAACGAGTTGTATTCTGTAACAAAAATTCAAGCATCAATCAAGATTTGTCATACGTTTTATATGTTCACGTCAGTTCTAATGGTAAGAACGGAAGTTAATAAGAATATTTATTTTTAAGGACGTTGTACTTTTTGAGACTTTTGCTTTTCACATAATCCTACATTATTTCACATTGTTAGGACGGGAAGTAAATTGACTAGTAATGTTATCATATAAGAAACTCAGACTATTTTAATTGACCTTCATAGAAGTAGTAACTTATTCATTCTGTTAGTTGATTAGTAGTTATTTTCTGGACTTTGGTGAAGATCGGTCTCCTGAGTAGATTGTAAGTTTGCTTATCTTAGACGTTTCAGAGTTTTGCCGAACCAGTTGTAGATTCAGAACTCAATGAGACAGATTGTTTAAAGAAATACCTGCGGCTGTTTGAATAACGGGAAAGGTGACTATGATTTATGAACAACCTTTGAGCGACGCAAGTGACCTTGAGAATGTTCACCTACTCACCAGGGCTAAATGAAGATTACAAACCAGTGTGAGGATATGAGATCATGATTTAAAGTTGATGAATAGGGTTAGGAATTCGATTTAAAGTTTTCATCACGAACTAACATAAGCTAAAATGCCAAAATGCTATTTAACCAAATGAATAAATGAATTTCGCGCCAAAATCTAAAACCTGTTATCTTATATTTGACTGATTCGTCCATAAATTATGGTCTCACCGAATAAACTCATAATTTACCTTGTCTATATTCGCACTTACTAACAATGGTAATAAAATTCTCAAAGTATATATAAAGATTTGCTTAATGTCAGCATATTGATAGACTAACTATTTGTGAAAAAGTACCGATCATTCCATTATATTGTTAAATTTTCTTAACAATGTGGATAGTAACTCTACTTTGGCAGTGATCATGTGAAAGAATATTAATGAGCACAAATCTAAACTTTCTATTTTTTTTTATTTTCTATTGATTAAATTTATAAAACACTTACTGTAAGGTGTAATCGATAAACGAACTCACCTATGATAAAGTGAAACGCCCACCACCACATTAACTTTCTTTGACCTTGTATAACTATGTCTTGTTTATTCACCAATCACAATTTTATGTTCACTATAAAACAATATTTGCCTTGTTGACTCATTTTTCCTATTCTCTAGCTACTGTTCAGTATGTTATTTATGTCTCTGTTTTTCCCTGTGTTGATACACTGTATTATTTATTTTGTATACTAACGGTGTTAATTTGTGTTTTGGAAACAGATAAAGTTTATCAAGCCAAATAGCTTACTTGTTCTGACTTTGGCTAAATCAAGACTTTGTGTTCGACGGTCTACAGAGAGAATAGCTTAGAGTTAAACCTGTAAGAAATTGCTTCCTACACTTACTACTTATCAGTTATGACCATTATTGATCGAATTATTTTTTTTATTTTATTTTATTTTTTTTTGATACTTAATGACTGTGTTGTTTTTATATTTAGTGAAAAGAAACAATTCTGTCACAAAACATTTTGCTTTTATTATACATGTACTTCTTTACCATTTCTCAAGTCTTTTATGTTTCATCACTGTAGTGTTTATTATTAATTAAATGAGTAAACAAAAGCAATTTATTTGTAAATTAATAATAACAATATAATAAATGGTAATAATGAATTATGATTTTTATCTCGATTTTATTTTAGAAAGAAACCTTGCTGAAATACAGAAAGAAGAAAAATAAATTGAGATCATCATAGGTGAAGTAATATATGCATGTATTTGATTTGGTTCTTTTCCTAGAAACCCAATCGATTTTTTTATATTATTATTCACTCATTCACCAGTCTTCAGTAATTGTTATGTAATATACAAAAAAAAACATTAAGAGAATAAAGACAAGAGAAAAAGTATTTAATTAAAAAGATAATTAAAAATGCTAAATAGACAGTAAATATTTTGTTGTCAGTGTGAATAAATATATTTTAAAGAGATGAAAAGAAACTGTAAACAAAATCATAGAAGAATATAATAGGGTTATGATGTAAGAAAGATTATTTATAATATAAGAGATGATGAGAAATACAATAATAAAGCGATAACAAAAGTCATCGAAAAGAAAAAGATGAAAACAATTAAGAAGAAAATAAAAACATGAATATTTCTTCAATGAATGATAATTAATTTAAAATTTATTCCTATAAAAAACAATGTGGTTTTGTTTCTGTTTTATTGTTTTAGTAAGTAAGCTATTGAAGTAATAGAGAATACAGTAGATAAATGAAGATATGGTATAAAATAGAAGCAACACAAACGTCTTATTATATGTGATGACAAATAAAACTGATCTCTTTACCTAAACAAAAAACAAACAAACAAACAAACAAAATGTGGTCAGAGTGAAGAAAACAGAGAGATGCATTGTATAATGCATACAGTAGGAAAGCATGTCTATTTGTAGATAATTAAAATGCATATTTCTGACAATGATACAGTATTGACAATGAAAAAAAGAGCTGTAATATGATATGCACTATTAACATTATTATTAGTAGTAGTATTGGCATCAATTTTATGGCATGAAATGTACAATTTGTAGGAAAAAAAAATTGACACCATTTATTATTGATATATTCACAGATGAATTAAGTCTATTGAATACAGATGTCAAGCATCATAATGAAAATGAAAATAATATGGATCCTTTGAAAATAAGTAAACCGGGGTAAATAAATGACTTATGAATGAATTAATTTTATTATTACTCACAAAATTTGTAAGTAAATAATAGATGAAGGAAAAAAAATTATTCAAGGAGTTGAAATAACAAAAATATTCAATTGAGAGTAATTATGATCATTAGTAGTATTATCCTGTAAATGTAAACAGAACAGGAAAAATAAAGTATACGTCAGTATATATGCCCATAATTATTTGGATATTTTATATGTACACTTTAATAATGATGTATAATATAATTCAGTTAGTCAATACAATTAATAAAAAAGAGGAATTAGAAGAACATTAGTGAAGGTACTGTAGAACAGGTCAGTATTAGTTGTATTTAAAGTCTATTATACATTGATCATTATTATTAGTTTGTTTTGATATTGTAAAATTACATACCATTTTAAAACGTAATAAAATGAGAACATTGAATTTAGAGAATAGAGTTAAAAATAGAGAAAAATAAAATAAATGATTGACACTAAATATTATTTTTTAGAAAAAAAATTAAAATAAAGAGAAAAAGAAAAAAAGTTTAATGATTTTTATTAACATATGAATTAAAGAAAAAAAAGAAAACAAAGTGAAAAGCAAAGAGACACATCGACTTTTATTCTATTTTTTTTTACAACTAGCAACTTATACTACTAATATTAATAATGAAGATGATAATGAAAACAATGGAGATGAGAATAAATGAAGAAAAGAGTCTAAGATATTGTATTTTGATTTGTAAACAATATATATATATATAATGAATAGTAACTAAGCAAATGTATTTTAATCAACCTAAATACATATAATTATGAAAGATGAATTAATTGTGCTTTATTTGAATTTAGTAATTTAGTCCAAATTAAAATTCTTTAGTATTTTATTATGATACACTTTGAATAATGCAACTATGATAATGAATAATATAGTAACTATTATTTTATTGACATGAAATAAATAACAATCTGGCCGGTGGGGGTGGTTTTAATATTCAAAAATGAATAGAACTAACTCGAAAGAACGTAAATAAATAAATAAAAAGATGCTGAAAGTTTTTAGAAAAGTGTCTATATTGTTTGTGATTACAAAATGATTAATTAGTTTCTTCTATTATTTTTTCTCATCACCATCTTTATACTGTTGAATTTACTTTAATAGTACTTTTTAAAATTGATTTTGCTATAGATAAATGAACACAAAAACGAAACTATAAGAGAGAAAAAATTGAAGGAAAAAAAGTGTAAATGAATTTATGATGCAGAAAGATCACGTATAATAATAGCAATTTCACTGAATGTAGGTCGATGTTGTGGTGTTGGAGACCAACAACGATTTAATAAATTACCTAATTCACTTGGTATATCAGCAACTAAATCCGGTTTCAATGGTGATGAATCGGTAGTGCTAAGTTTTGATTTAGTAAAACCGCTAGTGTTATTTAGTAGCATAGCTGTTCGTTGACCAGCAACAATAATTTCTTGATCAGACAATCTAGCTAAAGGAAGTGCTGCTAATGAAAAGACTTCACAAACTAATATACCGAATGCCCAAACATCGGATTGTGTAGAATAGGGTATAGCTGGATTAGCTAATTGTTTCAATGATTTATTTTCATGTCCATTACATAATGATACATGTCGTGCAGTTGTATTCATTGTTGTATTAGTTGTTATTTCATGAATAAGTTCTGGTGCAAACCATCTTAATGGTATAAATTGTTCTGTATTAGGTAAACGATAATATTCATTTGCATAAACATCTCTAGCCAAGCCAAGACTTGATATTTTCACTTCTAAACCTTGAGTTAAGAGTACATTTCTAGCTGCTAAATCACGATGAACACAATGCATATGAGCTAAATAATCCATACCAAGAGCTAACTGCTTGCATATACTCATCTTTTGTGTACAAGTTAAAGGTGGCATTTTAAGTGATGCTGAATTCTCTTCACGCATACAACGTAAAAATTGTTTTAGATCACCCTAAAAAATAACGGGGAAAAACATATAAAATGATATAAATCAATAGAGAATAATCGGAAATTAGTTCATTAATTCATTTATTGATAGTAACCACATATGATAGAACTGTTTTAGTAACTATGAAATAGAAAGTCATACAAACTGGGATCAATTTCTACATGACAGGTAATGCAAGGAATGAATCACAAATGGATTTGTGAAAAACCATTTAGATAATTCAATTGGTATTGTTTGCTTGAATCTTCCCATTGAGGTTTAAAATTGCAATTGATCAGTCTGTTATTGGCATATGTGCATATTGTGCGTAATGCCTCGATATTGCCTTAATCTATATTTGCTTATAAAGCTTCTGAATTAAGGCAATATCAAGGCAATACACACAGTATGCACATATGCCGATAACAGAATGGTCGACTACAGTCTTAAACGTCAGTGGGAAGATTCAAGCAAACTTTACGGAGCGAATTTAAATTCACCCCATTGAACAAGCAAGTGGCCATCAGGACTCAGTAGCTGAGTGGATAACGCTATGGCTTTTGAAGCGAATGGTACTGGGTTCGAGTCCCTGAGTGAACATGAACTCTGAGATGCAGGTACACCTAGCTGACGAGTCCCAAATAGGACAAAACGCGCGTCCTAGATTCCACTGCTAGCCATTTAGATAGATGTTTATTTAAAAGAAACAACAGTTAATATGGTTTTATTTTTTCTAATTATTAAGAACTACGGTCTTATAGCATTTGATCCATCAGAAAAACTATACTTCATTTAAGTTGAGCAGAAAGAAACAGAAACGTTATTTCTAAATTAAATGTACAATGCGAACTACGACGTCATTTATTATCGGTTGGCTTTTTTTTAAATGATCATCATTTATCGTCAAGATTCTACTGAATTAAAGCTTAGATACAATGTGCATGCAACCAGATAGGCTTACTGAATTCTTACAAACGTCTAAACTATCATTTTTATTTGGCTGTTAGTACGAATGGGAAATTATTCACCTATCTGACGATCCATTTCACATGATTAGTTAAAAAGACAACGCACTAATATAATTAAGATAATTAAATACTCAGATTATTTCCACAGTTAGCATAACTAGTACAAAATCTAGTTCCAATGAATAGTTTTTGCTCTACTGACTAATTAAAAAGTAGTAACTAACGTCATTTTATTTGGTCTTTAGTACTGATCGAACTATTGATAAAATTGTGACAGATGCACTAGTCTTGAGGACTGGACACTCAGTGCATTACGTTCTAATGCTCTAATGGCTAGAGCCCATCAGCAGGAAGCCCTGTACTTGAGTATTCCGCTTGTTAGTAAATATCACGAAAAAGTATCTGTAAAACTGGGGGAACGTAATCTTTTCGTGCTATTCCGACCCATCTTATCACGTATTACAAGACGTTACCACTGAACAAATTAAGATCCAATTGACCTCTTATAGAACTGATATTTTCACACTGATAGGTCGCTAGGTAGGAACTAATATCACATTTTAACAAAGTACCTGACATGTGGTAGTGTGTGCAAATTATACGTGTACATTACTAGGGATTTCGAAACTATGACTTCGTCAGTGCACATTGGTCTTTCAAATGGTATCATTTCATAATGAAAAACATCTTCAGAGGTTACAATTTATCGATTTTCTTAATAAATCTACTTTTTCGTTAAACCAGTTATTTTTTAGTCCTATATAATTTTCATTAGTCCAATTAATCATGAACTGAATTATTTCAAATTATTCAAACTTAGTCGAAATATACCCAAAGATTTAAGTGAATAAAATGATAACGAATCTATACTTACCCATTCACAATATTCTAACAAAATATAGAATGGTTCTTGTTCCATGCATACCCCTAATAAACGTGTAACATAATCATGATCAGACTGACCAAACAATTCTAATTGACGATGAAACTCATTAATATGTACTGAATCACATGAAGTCAATGATTTGACTAATACTAAGGATTGAGCTTCACCTTCTTGTATATGACGAGCACGAGCCAAGAATACGTCGCCGAATTCACCTTTCCCTGTAAAACAACAGAGCCATTTTACTATATATGATATATGACTGATATTTTTCTAATAAGCATTTGAAACAAATGAAGATATTTCAAATATTCGGAAAACAAGTTAAAAGTTTATTACAATTGTGAACTTATGAATATTGTTTTGTCCCTAATAAATATCAGTAGTGATAAAATGTTGAACCATTTTGGTGTACAATCAGTTTTTTAAGAGTTAATTGCAACTAAAGAGTTAAATATATTATGTTTGTTAAGTGGGATGCTATATCAAAAATATTTATTTGATGATTATCCTGATGCATTAGGAATGAAATGGAAAGTTTCATACATCCAATATTATACACCAGCTTTGACCAAAGTATTTATAAAAATAGTCACAATTGATTGATCACTGGGTGGTGAACAATGTCATGTGTGTCAAGTCCTTCTTAGTGAAGATCGAATGCTATAGACCAAGTTGCAATGTGGCCACTGGTCTGGGTGACTCGACACTGCATGCACTATTTTGAGATAAGATGGTCGTTGGAGGTAGCCAACAGGAAAGCCTGGACCCGAGTTTCGTGCTACATAATACTCGTCAGCAAGGTGTACCTGTAGTCTTGAGGGGAGTGGTGCTTTCCGACGCATTCGACCCCGTGTCACTCAGCTTCACAGTCAGAGACGTTACCACTAGGCGGTAGCATTCGATTTGCACTAAGAAGGACTTGACACACACGACATTGATCACCACTCAGTAATCAATCAGTTGTAATCACATCTCAGTTTTACAGGCGGTCGATCGCGGCCCGAGTAGCTCAGTGGTAGCGTCTCAGACTGTGAAGCTGGGTGGCGCGGGATCGAATCCGTCGGGAACCTGTTCCCTCAAGATTACAGATACACCTTGCTGTTGAGTACCAAGTAGCACGAAACCCGGGTCTTATTTCTGGTTTTAAAAATGGAGTGATATTAACTCGAGAATTATTCATAATGAGGCATGATAAATACCTGATTCCCACTAGTTTGGAACTTTTCAGCAGTAAGGAATCATGAACTTGACACTAAAATGAATCAGGGCTCTCATTTATTACAGAAAGAAAGATGTTGTGCAACAAATGAATTTCAGCTCAATGATTCAACTAATTTATTGAGCTAATGAACACAGCTATACCATACTGTGAAAATAAACTTTATTTCTAAATCCGTAAAATACAAGTTACCTCGACTGTGGACACTACTGATTGCGTAGAGCTATCCTCGAATCAATCAGTATATATATATATGATAAGTCATATGTCAATAAGTAATTGTAGGTTTTGAGAATGTGCTTTGTGGAGATTTTTAGAAATTTTCACAGATTGAAATCATGAGTCAATTGAAGCTAGATCACCATTGAAAACCTGGAAGCACTGGACGGCCGTTTCGTCCTAGTATGGGACTCCTCAGCAATGCGCATCCACGAACCCGCACCACCCGGGGCTCGAACTCAAGACCTACTAGCTTCACGCGCGAGCACTTAACCATTAGACCACTGACTCATGATTTCAATCTGTGAAAATTTCTAAAAATCTCCACAAAACACATTCTGATAATAATAATCACCTGCTCACTAGTGACTGACTTCAGGAGACACTTCTGGGGTTCTAGTGAGAAGTCGTTACCAGTGGAGTTCAACCAGGTCTGTTGTGAGATAGGAACTCACTGAAGACAATGGTGTACGGTAGCGCAACTTCGTGGATTGGTTGAAGTTAGACATTAACACCGTTGGATGCCGGCTCAGTGGTCTAATGGTTAAGTGCTCGCGCGTGAAGCCAGTAGGTCCTGGGCTCGAGCCCCGGGTGGCGCGGGTTCGTGGATGCGCATTGCTGGGGAGTCCCATACTAGGACGAAACGGCCGTCCAGTGCTTCCAGGTTTTCAATGGTGATCTAGCTTCAACTGACTCATGATTTCAATTTGTGAAAATTGTAGGTTTGTTACAATTCGGTTAGTTGTAATGTGGAATTGGACTTCGTAATTTCTAGCAAACAAATAGTTGTTAAAGGAAATACATGAAGCATGAGAAACATATAATTATCATACTGAACAGCGACCAGCTATCATTCGGTTATAATAAGGATGTGTTAGTGACAATGTGGATAGGAAATACATTGAGAAAAGCACCTAACTGCGTCATGAGGCAAGCCCTCACTTGGAACCTTCAAGGCCAAAGAAGAAGAGGAAGATCAAAATGCACACTGAACCGAGAAATGGACAGACATGAGACTAATGAGCTACAATCGGATAGAGCTAGAATGGGAGGCCCAGGACAGAGTGGGTTAGAGAATGCTGATCGTCGGCCTATGCTCCATTGATGGTAACAGGTGTAAGTAAGTGTTAGTGACAATCAAGAATTCTGTTTAAAAACCATTTTAATAATAATGGTGTAAGATGTAAGCACTTTAGCAAATTTAGTGAAATATGAACGCGAGAAGAATAAATAAGAGAGACCTATGAGCCTAAGAAATTGTTTTTTGCAAACACAACTCAAGTTTTAAATTGTGTATGGCTAAAACTTCCCGAATGTAATGCGTGTTCATCGGTACACCTGTTCGCATCTTTGACTACATTCTGTGAACAGATGAGTCTGAAACTGAGAATTTCTTGAACTAATTAATATATTACAGAATAGAAGTCGCGATGAGTACTCGTTGGCCAATGCCATATACATACAGTATAACAGCGGCTTGCTGGTTTAAACACAAATGTCAGTCTATAGGTATCATGTTCATATTTTACTTGACTTACACCGGTTCAGGAAGTCGGGTAATATCGGCAATTCTCATACAGAAATTCAGCCCAAAATATATGAACAGGTTTTTCATTAAAGAGTTGGATTAAATTAAAATAATTTAATAATATGCGCAATTTACAGTTCAAGACAAAGGAGGACTACTTTATTTTGCATCTCTTCATTCAACTTCAAAATACTAATGAAAATCAAATTGATTTAAAATCGTTATGAAACAGAGAACATTTCAATAAATTTCTTTACATTATAATTAATAATGAATAAATAAAATCATAAACAAACCTAGTATTCCTTCCATTTGTAGTTCACAACGTGGATAATTCATACGATCTGTTTGACTAATAGTGTGTAATGCATTTGACTGATCATATTGATTCAAGCTATTGACATGTGAAGCCATTTGATTGGGAGGTGATCCGAAATTAGAAGCACCACTTAAAAGGGAACGAGAGTACAAGCTAGTTGAATTACCAGAAGATACTCCACTAAAATGTGATCGTGAATCAAGCGGAGTTGGTGGTGGTGCAGAGACAAGATGTGATTCAGATGTAGTTGTAGCAATTGTACTGCTAGCCACACCCGTACTAGTGCCTTTGTGCGCCGAAAACATAAGATTACATGACGGACTCATCATAGAGTGTCCATGTACATATGAGTGACCGTTAAGATCTCCAATATCTGTCAAAGGATTAGCAAATCCGTCTATTGGTCCGGCGGCACCGGCCGACTGTAGTAGTTTGGCCTGAGCATCGTTTTGTCCATAATATGCATTGTCACTTATAGGCCACCAGCATTTCGTATCATTTACTGAAATGTTTGGCCTTTGATTTGACCCAGGTTCTGTACACATTAAAGGATGTGGTAAAGTACCACTATCAGGATAATTTGTTCCACTTCGTGTGCCAGATGCACTAGTCAACACGGGGCGACCATAATGAGGTAGTTGACTAAGAGATGCATTTGCAGTTGTATTTATCCCCGATGTGCAACCGCCTCCTAATAATAAACCACATTCCATATTACCAGTTCCAGTGCCACCCCCGCCGCTTCCTTGTGATCCTCTTTTGCCACCATTCGGATTACTAGGATCATTCAAAGGATTAAGTAATTGACCATTTTCATGTAACTTGCCACCTAATTACAAAGAGACGAAAATCAGATTTTACTGACTTTTCCTAATGAACTGTAACAATCTTAAACCGAATAAATATATGTAAGTGTATACTACTCTTCAAATACATAATGTCATTTTTAAAAAAATATTTAATTCAAAACAACTTTTGAAATCATACATAAATTGCTGATGAAAGTAATAGTCCATAAACGACTGCTTCTGTTGATTCGAGTATTTAGATAGAGGAAAAAAGTGTTCCGAATCGGATGAGGGTAAGTTAATTATATCAATGTTGCCTATGAATACTAAAGGGTTCAGTGTCACCTCTTCATATGCTGGTGGATTCGACAAGATAAACTTCATTGGTTGAAGAATAAATAATTAAGTTAATTTCTTTGGTTTTCAAATCTAAATTTTATAGTCTATATCATGGACTAACGTTTGGTAAAGAACATTTGAAAACTAGAAGGCATTGAACAGATATTTAGTCTTAGTATAGGACTCCTTCCTTGTCTCGAATAGTTGTTTAATTGAAATCAGTTTGTGAGGTATACAATAAAATTCAACAATCTCCACAATTTCACTTCCTATAGTAACCAAATATATATGTCTAGAAGAGTTTTAAAACCGACCTCTTCATTTTATGATTAATCCTATAAGTAAAATACTTAATTGTTGATCTCGTTTTTTTTGTCTAACTAATATTGAATCCAGCTGTTACTACATTATGATTCATAATCGTAATTAAAATTTTAATACAATAAACATGAGACAGGCTCTTCATAATGTATAAAATAAAAATCGTAACACTGTCTAATTCCCTAGAGAAATCAAAACTATTTATCTTGTTTAACCTGTTACTCTTTTTAAATAGGAAAAACAAACAAACAAACTATCAGACGGAAATGTTCTTGTATATTCCTTCATGTTGGTTTACGTTTTATCAAGATAATCAAAAAATGTAGAACAAAGACAAGATTCTTATGAACTGACTTGTTTGTTTAAGATTTAGTAAATTTACTAAGTAACAAAACATCAAGATGGGGGTATATATATATATATATTTACTGAAAAACGTGGTGCATTTATGATTATGAGTATTTTATGTACTTGAATCTAAGGTATTTATGTTTTATGTATCATTGTTACCCACCACCTTGTGAATATAATCATTATTAATGTTATATTTATTTATATTATTACATGAAGAGAAGAAGAGAGTCGAGTAATAATTGACCAAAACAACAGAAATCCATACAAACACTAATCATGTATCATAATAAATCTTTAGTTTTTATTGCCAGTTAAAACAAGTGATTGTGTTTTGATTAACGACTTTTTTCTCTCTTCATTTGTTAAATGATTTATTAATAAAAATTGAATGAATGTTTTTCTTCTTTCTTTATGAATAAATAAGACAGTCTAAACATTTAAGAGGTAAATATATACTATGCTAAATTTGTTTTCTTTCTGTTTATATATGCACTTTCAAATTCTTATTATTTGATACACTTTTCATTACCCATAACTTGCCTGATTATTTTGATGTTTCGGTCTTCTTGAGAAAACTAAGAAATCTCATTAATCACTAAAAAAAATTAGGGGGGGGGGAAGAAATATGAATTTCTTTTTTGATTCCGTTTTCGTCAGGTCAAACCAGACATTTTTCTCATTCTTTATAAAAAAATATGAAACTTATGAAATTGAAGTATATATATATCTTGTGCAATGAAAGTACGAAAGCAGCTTCTTAAGATAGCAATAACAACGAAACAAACAAACAAAGCCCAAATACATTTAGAATTGATCAAAACATAAATCCTTAACTGTAATGTGATAGAAACATGAAAAAAATCAACATTCGAATCTTGCTTGTGGAAGACAGAGTAGTGGTAGTAGTAATATCCAATTATGCTGACGTATATTGTAATAAATATAAATAAGTGGGTGAGTAGATGGAATGACAGGAGTGAATCATCTTCCTTTTCATCAAAAACAATAATAATAATAACAAAATACAGAATATCACACCAAAGAAATGATTAATGAGTTAATTCTCAACTTATAGACTTACCACTTTTACGTGATCGGTTACGTCGAGTACGTACCATACGAACACTACAGAATGTTGTTAATCCAATAATTAAGCCTAAATAGGCAACAGCACATCCAACTACTATAAAAATAGTTTTCATCATACCAGTACTTGTACCATCTTCACCAAGTTGTTGTCGAGTATATTCTTCCGGAGCTGAATAATGTTACGAATACATATGCACAAAAAATACGAACAAACAAATAAATATTAAAATGTCAGTAAGTAAACAATAGAAGTAAAGAGTAATCTGAATAAAAACAGTACAGATGCATGGCTCTTAGAAATGCATATACCTATATATGTAGTTACACTGTTAATCTGTGCAGTTATATTTACATTACTGTAAGCTTATACATGAATTCATTTTTGTAAACAAATGTTTTCTAACAAACAGTGAATAATTTATTAGTTTTTTTTTTTAAAAATATGCCCCAATAGTTGGGGAGAAATGAAAATAGCATTTAATGTGCTTTAATTTTTCAATCTATAATATGCTTCGTATTTCAACGGTTAATAGGTATGTAATACAGGAAATATGTTTATTACTCTATAGATGAATCATATGTTCTGTGATATCTCATTGTTGATAAGTAAATAATATTTAAAATGAGTTAGATATTTAGTGCTATAGGTGACCAGTTTTTTCAATCGTACACTCAAGTTTGTTGTCGCTTAAACGTTAAAATGTTAGAACCAATTTTAAAATTTTCTTCATATATCCATACAGTTATCTTATTCGTGGTGTTCCTTTTCGTTTGCAGTTTTTTCTAATTTAAAGGGAAGTAAACAATGTACTTGATTGAATTGAATAAGAGTAAAAGTTCATAGTGAACTTTAGGCAAAACATAAATAAAAAGAAGTATGACAATATATCGGATTCCAAAAATGTTCAAACAAAACAAGTTACGTAAAGTATTCGTTGATCTGTATATATTATCAGTTGTCGGGAGACGTACCGAAATAGTATATAAACCTTGAAAGGTCATTCTCTCGAATGTTACTGGTTAAATTAAAGCTTATGGTGAACTTATCGCAGTTGATAACATCAAGTTGAGCTTATCAAGGCTGTCTATTTTCGTCATTATTATTTGCCTTCGCTAAAGAGATTTCTTTAGAGAAGTTTGTGCTGATGATATCGTTCACAATAACGATGAAAGCTCCACCAACAAACCATACAACTCGGTGAACAAATCTCCACCATTATCATTCACCTGAGCTACAAATCGTCTTGATTATCTCATGAAAAATGTTGCTCACAATAAAAGTGAGAATTTAAAGTAAACTGATAGTTTCTGCATTTACAAAAAAGTAGCTTAAGATAAATACTCACTGAGGACTCTGACAAATACTCCTTGACGAGTTTTGATAGCATGTTTATTGCCAGCAACGCATATATACTCAGCTTGATCTGATAAATGCACTTGTTTAATAATTAAACTACCATTTGAAAAAGCTGTTATACGTCCTCCATTTGCTTGCATATTTCTTGAAATTGCAGCTACAACAGCATCCGCGCTAGATGCACTGTTTAAATTATGATCAATCGAAGCTGATGAAGAACTTGAACTAGACGGTGGTGGTTGCAAAAATTGTTGTTCTTGTAAATGATTATCAGCTGATCGACTTGAATCAGATAAATCAGTAGACTGGGGAATTAGTAATTCACTATCAACTAATGGAGTATAAACACTTGGAATTTTATAACCGGGTTTTTTAACTATCCAACTAATTTGCGGATGTGGATCACCTGATGCATGACAATTAAGTATAACTTGATTACCAACGCGAATTGTTTGGTTTGCACTGATTTGTGATATTTGAGGTTTTTCTGTGTAGAATAAAAGGATGAATAGTAAACTGTTATGAAAGATTCGCTAATACGAAGAGAAAAACCTTCACTATTTAGAACTATCAATGTGTGACATTACAAAAAAACAGAGATGCTATTGAATTACTAAAAAAACTATGACTCCTGTTTAGCAAGCTCTGACGGACTAGTTTACCACTGCATATTCGGAAAAATAGAAAATTAGCAAAATTCATTTTCTCTAAAGTGTCATCTTAGAGCAAATAAATTACAGTATGATGTTGAGCACAGTTATATAGAATTCCATTACATTAAAAGAGTAGACAATTTGATCTTATCCCTACTTTTGGTAATGCTTTTTGAATGGAAATCGGGGTGGGATGGGTTTGAATTCTATGGAGGACAAGTGAACCTTGTTGAACGATATTAAATTGAACAAAATCAGGGCTCTATGTTGATGGTCTGTAACTAACCAATATCAAGCTTAATGATTTGGTGAAAATTGTTTGCTTTATAGAGTTGACTGACTTGAAATAAGTTTTATGACGAGCTGATCAACTGCTGTGAACTGTTAGCCCTTAGTGTGGAAATCATGGACAGTATAAACTTTCACAAGTGAATGGTAAAGAACTAAGTACTTTGAAGGATTTAACACTTAGTGGTCTATTTAAATATTTTGTGCTGCTTATAAACTAGGAAAAATTAAAACTAACCGTCCTTGTTTAGATTTATTTGAACTGAATAATCATGCCTCCTAATTGTGTATACTCACAAGCTATTATAAGAGATTCAAATGTTATTAGAATGCTAAGTAATGGAAATCTTAAACGGAAATACTACAGTTGGTGATAATATTTTCCATCTCGTCTATCCATGGAAAAAACGATAGACAAGTACAGCAGATCAATTGCAGCTTATATATGATGAATGAGGAAAATAATTGTAACAGTTCAATTTGTATGAAATTATCATGATTACAGATGAATGATTATTAATAACAATTATAAAAGACAATTCTGAAGGATAAAACTTCGAGTGCATGTTAAGCATATTGAAATATTGCACGTTTAGTACTACTTACTCTAAAAAGTTTATGGTATCGAATAAAGCTATTTCGATAAGACTATAATTTATAGACAACCTATGAGCGACGCTAAAGTAACCTTGAGAATGTTTACCTCCTCACTAAGGTTAAATGAACGTTACAAATCAGTGTGAGGAATTAAGATCATGATTTACAGTTGATGAATAGGGTTAGGAGTTAGATTTAAAGTTTTCAACACGAACTGACACCATCTAAAATTCCAAAACTCTAGCCAAATGGATAAATGAATTTCGCGCAAAAACCCATGATCTAACATCTTACATTTGATTGGTTCATCCATAAATTATAGACTGGCCGCTATTACTATTTATTTTCATAATTATTATTTGGCTATTAAAAAAATTAATGATGGCATATTCTATCTGTAAACTATCTGAATATTTCGTGGTTATTTACACATTTTGATATATATTGATCACTCAATTAAAATGTTTGTTTCCTTTCAGAGTAAACAGTAATAAACTGCAAAGTTATGTTGAGCATAAAATAAATTAATTTTATGGTAAGTGTAATTTTTCAGTGTTTATATATAGATGTAAATTAATTCTATAAGAGAACGACGGATTTCAGTGAATACATTAATGATTCACAGTAATAGAATGAAAACTTCATTATATTATATGGTTTTCTTAATTCTATTTTCTAAAGAAACATTTTCAAAACTCAGGAAAGCTATATAGTAATTTAAAATAATGTTTGAGATAAGTAAAGTTGGTAGGCAAAATAAAAGTTTTAAATATATTTACGGAAATATTTTCAGAGAGGGGTTTTGTGAATATTATGTTATATGTTGGCTCAGTGATCTAGAGATTAAGCGTTAGTACGCGAGACCCATAGGTCCTGGGTTCAAATTTCGCAAGCCGGGATCATGGATACACACTGCTGAGGAGTCGCACAAAAGGACGAAACGGCTGTCCAGTGATTCCAGGTTTTCCATGGTGGTCTAGCTTCAATTAACTCATGAATTCTAGTAATAATTTTGCTGAAATATGTTTGAACTACTCACTAGTAGTACGTTTTATGACAAAACCAATAGTTTTTTTCAAAAAAGAAACAGTACAGCATTATTCAGAACAACAAACAGGTATATCGAAAATGATTTGAGTAGACATTTTGTTATAGTATGAATACTGCTCATTCAAGTTAATTATAACTGAATTTATAGTGAATATGAAACAAATATGAGTATCACCACATGTGTATATATTCTATTTTTCATTAACTTTAAGAGCTGAACCTCAGATCAGGCGTTTATGCAACTGTATTATAACAGAAAACAATTTAATCTTGAATGATTTTCAGTGAGTGATTGAGTTATATAATGGACAAGTAATATAAAGACATTTGTATTGTTTGTTTATTTTTTTCATCATTTGTTGTTTAGAATAAATCACAGTTGTTAGAAAACAGAAACATAGTTAAGTGACTTCTCACGTTAGTTAAAAAACTCATTTAATTTGTACATATTTTTACAAGACTTAAATGATACAATGAAAACTTATTTCTCACAGAAATTATGACCATTTAACCAGAAGAAGAATTCAATGAGTCAATAAATCAAGGAAACTATTAAAAATGAAAAAAAAAGATATTTGAAACAAACAAATTCAAAGTGTTACAATGTTTAATGAGAAAACTTAAGGAAACAAAATAGTGGAGAATAACATTTCAAGGATCTTAATGAATGATGATAAAATTGATGTTGCCTATGGTGCTGGTGATGATAATCATAAATGATAAACTTATTGGGAATGAGAATTTTCTTGAACAACTGTCAAATATTTTTTCAAAAAAATATTGTTTTATTAAAATAACATTGTGTATTTACTTGATGAGTTACCAGCTTAGTTTCTAAGGTTGTTTTGGTATATTGTTTTTTTTAAGGTTTCATGAAAAGATACAACAAAAATGCAAACTACACAACTACCTGTCAGGTTTATTTAAACATAATTAATTGTGGTAATATTTACATAAAAAGTCATATGTGCAGATGTATAAACAAGACAAAACATAACAACTGATGTATGAGCAAATATAAACATTGACCAGTTAAACATACACAAGAATATAAATATATATACAAACACACGTAAAGGTATACATCAAACCCCTTACCCCAGATTCAGGTGAAAAAATAGTTTAAAATTTATAGCTTTCTGAAAATATAGGTACCATCAAAACAATGAGGTAAAACAAAATCTTAACCATATTGTTAACATTATTAGTACTAGCATTAATAATAATAATAATAATATTAATAGCTGTAACCATTATTATAATCGTTACGAGCTGGGATTTGTTTCTTTTTCTAGACTTAAAATAAACAAACAGAATCAGGTCAAAATAGCTGATTTCTAAAGAAGTGAAAATATAAAAGAATAACAAAATACCATCAGCCGTAATAATAATAATAATAATAATAATAATTCATGTTGACACATCGGTCTCAATCGGTGCATTATTGATGGATAATTGTCTGTGTGCATAAACTTAGTTATAGGCATAAAAACAAACAAACTAAACAAATAAAAAAACCACGAAACAAGAAGAAAAGGGAGAATCGAATCGAAGAGAATTTAAGTTGAGAGGCAGATGAAGCAGTAAAACAGTAAATGTTATAGTGTTGCAATTAGAATAGTAATTAAAATAAAAACAACAGACAGTTTAATTTTATTGAAGAGAAAAACTTTAATCAGAAAATATGAGATAATCCTTTTTGTTCCACTAAATCAAGAGAGAATAGTCATCGTGAATTTGTGTATTAGATTAGTTGATTGATTAAAGTTTGACTGAATGTGAATTCAGTTTTAAGAGAAGTTAATAAAGAAAATACACGTTTAGTAATGTTTGGTTTCAAATTGTTCGAATAACATTAACTTATGGTTAATGTCGTTTGTCAATAATTATATTGAGATGGCTAAATGTAAATGTGAAGAAACATGAGGTATACGTTTCATGCTATAGCAAAATCATCACTAATAATCTATTTGAAACTATAAATAAAGTGAGTAACCTAAATCTCTTTAAGCTCTCTCTCTCAATATCTCAGATGGAAATATTACTGGCGGTATAGGGTTGTTTAAACTGTTGAATTTTACTGAAACCATGGTTCAATCACGGCTAGATAGCTATTGGAAAGCCGGGAGAGGGTAGAGCAACACTCCTACGATTAGCTTTGATTGTGAATAATTTTTGTCAAGCCATTTCACTGACTAATTTAACAGACTATTATTCGAACAGTAATAATTCGGTTATTTTTTGCATCATTATGATCTCTATCGTGTCTGTATAAATGTGTGCGCTTGATCACATGTGATGGCCTTCTCTCTCTAGCTTAAATGTTATCCCATTAAATATCCCTCAATCAGTCATTCTCTCTTCCGCGTATATACGCGTTCGAATCCTTTTAATAGCCTTTGTCTTGCCTAGCTGCGCCTTGATTCGAACTGACTATAAGTTTGCTTCTGCGTTCGCTAGCACAAACATATTAACCTCATTGCTGCAATTTGCTCGATGTGCTTCTAACTTGGTTATCTGGGCTATCCACTAATAAAATGTAGTTGCCGTATCTCGTTGCCTTCCGAATTCAAACACCGTTGGGATTTATAATGGTAACGGTTATTACGGTGATTGATGAACGAAGCTAAGTCACTAAAAGGAGTCGTGGATGCGTAATGCAGAAGAGTCCTATACTGAAACGAGACGGCCACCCAGTACTTCTAGGTTTTCAATGGTTTTCTAACGTAAATCGATTCAAGATTTTAAAAAAATGCTACTACTGGGTTATTTTAGGGGCTTCATATACCTTTTAATGAATTACAGTAATTGCAGCTAGAAATGTAATTAGTTATACATCGATTGATTATCTTAACTCAAGTAGCTTGGGAGATAAGACTAGTGTGTTTTTACTCTCAGTAGGAAAAGAAACAAATTTCGTCTGGGAGAAGAGAGGGGATACATGCAGTTGACTGATGAATTGTGAAAAGAATACAACAAGAGATGTTTAATAAACCATATCTCTTCTTTATTACATTTTATCATACGATTGAAATTATACCTTAAGACTTTCAATTCCAGAAAATCCTTCGTCATTTTCGGGATATATCTAAAACTATTACATTGACTGTAAATAGATATTATATGGAACAAACAAAGTAACATTTTTATAAATATATATTTAGCCATAGAAAAAAATTAGGCCACTGAAAACATATACATAATAGACATATAAGTACTTACACAAAAGTCTATGTCCAACTACATCCATGTGAAATGGACACATAAACACAAAAAAGAACATCAACACACTCATGAATACACAATCTGTGTGCAAGATAATACAACAATATATACATACAGGCATATATATATATATATATATACTAGCTGTCTCTATTGTTATAACACTGCCTGATTTTTTGTTGTTTATTTTGTTACGAAAGTGAAAATGACGATGATTTATGAGAGTGGAAGTCTGTTAAAGATCGTAGATGTAAACTAAAGCCGAAACTAAGCGAATTACACACACACACTATATACAAATATGGGAGAAGTAGCATTTTGAATGACTAGGTGATGACTGAGAGCGGTTAAGGATGGTGGTAGTAATAATCTGTTTTGGTATAGTTTCTCCTATAAAAAAGTAGTAAGTACTTATAGAAAATTTCAGGTATCAAATAAGATATGTATGTATATATATGTAATTATTTATATCAACTCAACTGGTCAAAATAAGACACCAAAATACAAAGAAAAATAACCAAAAGAGTAGCCAAATGTTCATAAATCAACTGTGTAAAGCGGAAACAAAAAGATGATATTGAAAAAGTATGAAAATTCGACATTCACGGATAAGAAATAAACGAAAACTCTTCACAAACAAAATGCATATAAGTTTATTGATTTTTCACACGCATATACATACTATCTCTCTTGATTACTCTTGAAATTATCACAATGGTGTAAATGTGGAAATGCTAAGCTATCAAGAGTGTATGTGTGTGAGAGAGTGAGATAGCGACAGATAGGAACACAAAGAAAGAACTTTTAAAAAAAGCTTAAAACAAAAAAGAGAACAAGAAAATAAATGCTTACAACAGGGAATAAGAGAAGATTAACAGTGTAATATGCGACTTCGGAAATGTTACGATTACTGATAAACATTGAAGAAGAAAAAAGACAATTCATCAAATAATTATCTATACATATACAATACGAAAACGAATGAAAAATAGTTTGTAGAGGGTGAAAAAAAGCTGGGAAACGAACAAACAAGCTAGAAAGTGATAAAGTATGTGTAAATGAATTAGTAAGCTCAAATAAGAATGAACCAGACGATCATTTATTTATCTTATAAAATTATCTGGTACTATAATCTTCGTCAGTCACTTTCTAATTACAATTTACATCATTAATCTTAAATGGAATTCAAACTTAAACTCTACCAGAATATAGAAGACCGACAAATCTTTATATATATATATATATATATATATATATATATATATATATATATATATATATATATATATATATATATATATATATATAAGTAACAAATGAGAGGAATATACAAAAATGATAAATTGAAATAATATGATTTATGTATTATTTGCAAAAATTGTGAATGTCAACTTGACTATAAGACAAAATGTACGATAATGTATTAAATAAAGTAGATTGTAAATAGTAGATTTGACTTATGAATAAAATCTTTTTCCCCGTTCTGTGGATATAAATTACTTATTTATAGGTAAATAATTAATATACTGAATATAAACGGGTTTATAGGTTTTTTAGATGAGTCTCAAATATCATCTATGAGAATAGTTTGATTTATCTTAATAATAACTTGCTACTATACAATATATTATCTATTCAATAAGTATAATAACTAAGGTATTAAAGTTGTCAATTATGAGGATAAATAAACAAATCATCACTCATATTATACTTAATTGTCTATTATCTTTAGTCAGTTTGAACTTGGTATTCTATAATCATTCAGTTTCTAATCAATCATATCGAGATAATGTGAGAACAATAAGAAGTAAAACAGTCAGTCGAATGAATCGCATGACTTTATAGAACTTCCAAAGATATTTAGTTAGAATGAAAATCAGCATATTGCTTGCTTGTATAAATATTTCAAAGAAAAATGTTTTATTGGAGTCTATAAAAAGTACTGATGCCAAGCCAAAACGTGGTATCAGTGCCTAAAGTCACTAACTTCAAGTCTGAGCCATGTTGGTAGATGCAGACTAGTTGGTTGGGGTTCGCGTGACTATCGTAACCAATGGTTGGAGATTCTGTGTGACATGGCTCAGAATCGATCATGATGGTGTAGCTGTATATACTCTCTGTCTTCCCTTAAACTAAGAGATTAAAATCGCTTCATATCTTTCTTTCTACGAACTAATTCTTTCTTCCTGTACTATATCCTTATTGCAATCTTTCTTTGATATATTACTACCTCTGAATTAACTACTTTTATGAATCCGGTGTCCATCTTGTTGTGCTAATGAGGTATGGCAACTTGGACCGATGTATATATGCGCCTGGTCCTACGTTGTAGGTGACTGACTGACTAATATGTAGCATTAAACAGACACTTTTGGTCAGGAGCAGAAAGTACTTAAACAAATAAGAAATCAACATTTTTGAAAAAACTATTCAACTGGAAAAGTTATTGTAGATTTCTTTATCTTCATTGAATGGCTTCGAAGATATGAAGTGTTATCTTTTTGGAACAAAATGTTAAGTAATAGAACTATAATGATTTGCTTTCGTTATATATATATATATATATATATATATATATATATATAAGTGTTCACGGGCATATTTACCATTAACAGAGTACAAGCATTGTAACTAGTCAAAGTAGTGCGTTTAATGTTATTCAATTGATATAAACCTGAAAATGGACGGTAGATAAATAAAACGCTCCTATATTGGCATCATCACTCAAAATTTATGTTTTAGGTAATTAATAAATCAGATTTAACTATACAGTAAGGTTAACAATCGATTTTAAACAACAGCCGTGGTTGAGCTAATAAATACCCAGGCATTGCCATGAAAATTCTGATGTAAATGAGCAGTATATATGTAAGATAGTGAACAACTAAACTTACCTCCAACAATAACACTGACAGTCATATTAATTTGAGCATTCTTATATGTTGACTTGGCTATGCATACATAATCACCGGCATCATGTTTCTGTACATACTGGATAATTAAAGTACCACCTTCTACTTGATTAGGTGGGTGAATCCTTTGCAAATCACTAGAATGTGGACCAACTTTACGAAACCATTCAACAGTTACTGTACCATAACCTCTAGCTTTACATGGTATTCGTCCTTGCATATTAATTTCAAGAAAATGTTCACGAAATTCACGTAAAAATTGCAGTTTAGCTATAGTTAGAGTAAAAAGAAGAAAAAGGCAGATAAAAGACTGGGTAACGATCATTCATAAAAGTGTTGTATGCTTTATGAAATAATTGTAAAGTACACTTGATTGTTTGTTTCTCGAGAAGAGTTATTATCACATTCTAAGAGTTTGTACTTTTAGATAAGTGTTATACTTACGTATTTGGACCAGTGCGTCAAGGTGATTAGCATACAGTATCTTAATTAATAATCAGTTTCCAAACAGTCTAGACATAGTTCATTATTATCTCTAGAAGAACAATCGAAGTGAACGAAGACAGTTGGGGTAATAAATTTGTTGTTTGACGCAAAATCACACAGTGGGTTAATGAAACATGAAAGTCATACATTAAATACACATTAAACACACACTAAATGTACATCGTCTTTGTGTTGTCTCATACACACATAATAATTTTTTTAATTCTGTTATTTCGGTTGCTTTCAGATTTCCTTCCGGATCTCTTCATTACAATCTTCTGCTGTCACGCTTTACACTTCCGATTGGTGCTACATACTACTTATATCTGTCAAAATAAGTAGCGTACACTACACAGTGACTAAAAGCTTTCATTTCATTTCAATTATCATATTAATTAACTTGAGCGAATGGTGTTGTTTTTATAAATATAAAGTCATAGCATTTATAAATTTTGATGTCAAAAAGGTGAGAATCAATCTCTTTAATAGTTTTTTCAATAAATATAGTTCTTTATGCTAATTATTTAAAACAATGTTGAGGATTTACACAAAAATCATAGTTATTAGTTAATGAACTTATGTGTCCTCGTTAACAATGTTTCTCAGGTACATCACATATAAAGTGGTGGATTCTATATGACAGACATAATACAGAGCGTGTTTATGATTTCAGTTTAGCAAACTTTATTATTGTCTAACGGTGAGCACAGGAAAGAGGTTTTTATAGCACCATGTATCATGATTCTTATAGGTTCACATAGCATGGTTTTTGACAAGTTTATGTGTAGTAGTCTGGATGTCATAGTTCTTCATTCATTAAATTTGTTAAGCTGATTTGAAAGTAATCTATTGTGCATGAGGACCTACAATCAGACATTTAGCATATTATGTAAATGAAGGCCAATAAGGTTAGAAAAAACTTATCAGGCAAACGAAAACATCTTTAAAATACGTATTTTGCCTTTTTAAAATGAAAGTGCAATGTTTAAGAGTGCACTGTGTTCTATTGATACTGCTCGTTTGTTCAAACCAAAGTACATGGAGAAGGGTTTGAACATATAATTTAGTGACTACAAGTTGATCGTTTTAAACCTTGAGCTGCCGCTTCAATATAAATTGTACCAAGCTTCTTTCAAGTACCAAAATTAGGTTAAATTTGAGTAAACTTGTTTTCAAAAGTATTCTTATACGAAAAGCAAATTTATGCCGACATCACGTTAAGACCTGAAATGTTACGTTATTCAAGAACAGCAAAACAATGTATTTAAAAATGAAATCCTACTCATATGATGACTAAATGTTTTCGATATACTGAATTCCAAGCATTTTTATAATGTACGTACTACTAACAAGAAAACTGTCTATCAAAATGTAATATTTTGAATAACTGAAAGAGATCTATGACTTACATACCTTTTGAACATAAAACCTAGTTACTTCGTTCAGAATCAAATGGTTGATGAGATCTCACTCACCTTTAACAATTAAGGTTTGCTCACGACCAGACCACCTTTCTTTATATCCATCAGTTTGAACGAAACATTGGTATTGACCTTGATCTTCGGGTTTCAGTTCAGGAAATCGTAAAGTTTCACCATTATTCTCTAAAGCCATAAGCTTTAAACAAATTTATTTATTAGTTAGTGTTAGAGAAGAATTAGTTTGTTGATAAAAGTAAACTTACTAGCTAATTGTGCATTTCAATCAATAACACTACTTATTAAGTAATGAAACCGGGCGATAACTAAGTGACTAAAACATATGACTTTCAGCTTTTATGTTGTAGGTTCAAACCTCCTTACCCCATTTACTCAATATGGTAAGATGGTATCATTCACCATCAGACAACTACATAAACAAATTATAATAACAGAAAATGTTAAATATCTGTGTGTTATGAGGTATATATTAACGCATTATATTGTGAAATATGCCGGTAAATATAGATTGTAACGTTACATAATTATAAACTTACACTATTGGTGTATTTTTCTAAAACACGTTGATCTTTTTCCCAATAGACAATACTTCCTGGAATTGAACGCTTTTTAATACCACAATCTAGTGTAATGGAACTGTCTTCATCTAAGGCATGTTCTTCATGAGTTAATGGTTGGTAGAATTCAGGTGGAACTAAAATCAAGATTTTTAAAAATTTTATTAAATGTGATTAATCGAATTCATAATTAGATTTATAGATACAAAAAGAGTAGATTAGGGGATTTGTTAGAAGGTATTTAAAAGATGAAATTACAGGAAAACAATTTTCAAAGTGAATACGTACACTTTTAGATAAATAACTATTAAGTGCGATCTCTTAACAACACTTAACTGACAAGTGGACTGTGATTTAATGAATGTTCAGTGGAATTACCAAACAGAGTAATAGAATTAGTACAAATGTGTGTCTATGGTCGAAAGTAATATTTATTAAATGAAGAATAAAACAAAAATGCTAGTCGGTTGAATTGTAAGCTAACAACCACGTCGGGTACGAGACAATAGATGGTCGAGGAATATCGTAAGTTGATTGAAGCTAGACATACACACTACTGGATTCCGGCTCGGTGGTCTAGAGACTAAGGGTTTGCATGCAAGACCGAAGGTAATGGGTTCGGTCTACAGATGCAAAGTCGTAGATGCTTACTGCTGAGTTCCATACTAGAACGAAACAGCTGTTCAGCGCCTTCTGGTTTTCAAGGGTTATTTAGCCAAGATCAGTTGGTGGTACAAAATATGGAATACAATTAGAAATTGTCAAGTTTACTTAGCCATAATCATATGAACAGGTGATTAACTTTTGAATAACTAACATTATCGAGCTAGCATAACAGGTTTAAATATTAACAGTTTTAACTTTCTTCCTTGTTAGTCATTAAAACAAATTACAACAAAATTATACCCTTAATGTTATTTTGTTTCCCGACACATTTAGGTGTAAAATTACTTTCTTTTTTAATGAATTGTAATTTTAATGATCAACACGATCACTGTATAGTAAAACAAGCTAAACAGATGAAAGTGTATAAAAGTATATCTGTTTAAAACGGTTTAAAATTGTTCATTTGTTTAACAAGTTATAATAACCTTGAAGGAAATCTAAAATAAGTAAAAACAAACGACTATACAAAATCACAAATTGTATTAGAATGATGTTTTTTAAAAATGAAACTTTTGGTATAAGCATCTGACGAAAATTATGGAATTCATGTTTCACATTCACCAGTACGTATAAAGAATGATTCATTTACACACCTTGAGAAAATACTGTGTTTTCTGGTAACATAACTACAGACTCTGATACATAATTATTACACCTTCAAAATATTTATTCAAGATCGCATAATGAAGACGAGTTAACCTGTAGGTATCTTCATTATTCATGTTTTCTCTATTTATCATGGAAAAAATCTGCATCTAATACCTTGACCAAGATACACAACCATTGTAGTTTAAACCCAAATATTTATCACAACTATAAGTAAAGATGGATAGTGGCTAGCAGTGGAATTCAGGATATGCGTTTCGTCCTATTTGGGACCCTTCAGCTGGATGTACCTGTACCTCAGAGTTGTCCATTCTGGGACTTGAACCCAGTACTGTTCACTTCAAACCCTATCGCGTTATCCACTTAGACACCTGCCTGAGATGCAGGTACATCTAGCTGACGAGTCCCAGACGGGACGAAACGCATGTCTTGGATTCCGCTGCTGGCCACTGTCTATCTTTGATTATAAAGCTTGTGACTTTAAGCAATATCGAGACAATCCGCACGGGATGCACATATACCAACAAGAGACTGGTCAATTGTAGTCCTAAATAACAATAGGAAGATACAAGTAAAAAACACCAAGTGAATTTATCATAACTGATGAAATTCACGAAGTTTCATTGATATAAACAGTTGTCATTTTCATGATATATTATCTTCAGCATGCTTTTGTGCTTTCTGTTGTCATTATCAGGTATGGTAGTAAATCTGTGATAACTAATATATAACGAATGTGTTTTAGACTTGATGAGTTGGCACAATTCTCTATCAATCATAAATATAAAAAGATGAGTGAAATGAAAGAGAACTGAAAGGTAACGACAATAGATGACAAATTATTACTACAGAGATATATAAGCTTACAATAAACAGTATGAAGGATAATTGGAATGAACAGAGAAATTGATATCTTCATACTCTACATTTTCATTGTTCACTGATTCAACATTGTTTTCATTTTCCTAAATTATCCCATTCCACGAACAAATTAACATTGTTATCAACATTAAAATTTCCACTACTTCTTTCTTAAATTTGCATTATTTAAATCTTCATGAAGGTGATAATTTGGTGACTTCACTTGAACTTGTGAAAAGTATTTCCACGTGTACTGTGTCATATTTACACAACCCATATTACACATTATATTACATCAGAAGGGGTCTGTGAAGATTTTATAAATTTCACAGATTGAAATCATGAGTCAACTGAAGCTAGACCACCATGGAAAACCTGGAATCACTGGACGGCCGTTTTGTCCTAGTATTGGACTCCTCAGCAGTGAGCATTCACGATTCCGCACCCAGTGGGATTCGAACCCAGGACCTATCACTCTGGCGTCAATTGCTTAGCCAACTAGACCACTGAGCCGGCATCCAACGAAACGGCCGTCCAGTGCTTCCAGGTTTTCCATAGTGGTCTAGCTTCAATTGACTCATGATTTCAATCATTTTATTACAATTTAATTTTATTCATTAGAAACAAATATAAGAACAAATAATATTTAACAATACTACTTAAAGATAAGCTATACATTCATTATCAATGTATTCTTATGTAAAATAGTAAACTACATGTGACAAAAATATAATTTCCAAAAACATTTAATACATTCAATTTCTCTTATTTAAGACAAGAATTTCACCATATCGATTATGTCACAATACAAAAAGTGTTTAGCGCCAAATATATATATATATATATATATATATATATATATATATATATATAAAAGATGTTTAGTCATATAGTACAACTTGCGAACTGTTTAGTTAACGCGATTGAATTGAGTTTATTTTCAGATTTCAATTTGTTATTTGAAACTTCTTAACTAACTTGGTCAACTTAACGAATAATAATGTTGTGTCAATCTAGCTATTCTGAAAAGTATTGATATTTATTAATACTCATTTAGAAATGAGAAATTTCAACTGTAAGATAAACAATAAGGATGATCGTTGATTCTGTACATTGTTATTATGGGGTCACTGAACGTCTGTTTATATGTATGTACATACAACAACAAAGTTAGATGACATGTGACAGTTAATAGAATATTCTGGAATTAGATTCCATGCTGGTTAACATTTACTAGCAAAAGTGTATATATAATTTCAAGGGAATTGAAATGTTGTATGAGATTCAAATGCATATCATTTACTCACTTTCACGATCTGAATTCTTACCAATAAACTATCAGAACCGCAACTCTGTGGCTAATAATATTTAATTATAACTAATACATATTGATTAGCATCAGAAGTTTTTTTGTGGATATTATAATAATTTCAATTAGGATCATGGAAAACCTGGAAGCAGTGGATGGTCATTTCGTCTTAATGTCTAATACCTATTGAACAAATACTGTAGTGAACGAGAACCCGAGTAAGGACAATCGAATGTATTTGAACACAAAATTACAGCACATCTTAGTAAAATCTGAAAACATCCATTAATTATTTAATTTGCAAAATATCAATCAATTGTCTCAAATTTAACTATTCCTGCATTTCCATATCAATCGGTTTCTGTTCCTGTGTTTTTCCTTTCTTGATCTCCTTAATCTTTTGCTATCAGACAATATTCCTGACTCGTGTTATATACTACTTATATCGATGTAATTAGCACATACCATAATACTAACTGGTAGAATTCAGTAACTTATTCCATTAATAATAAAAAAATTATCATAAAATACCTAGTTATAATTCGATCAATAAATTGTTACCAAACTTTATAAAAATCAATTTTATTCATTTCTAACCATTATCCTATTTGACTAATAGATGACAACTGATATTGAATAATAGAATACATGAAAATAAATAAACAAATTTTTCTAAGAAGAAAAACACCCCCTTAAGGAATACATAATTCATTTAGTTAACAAGATCAAAGTATATTCCAAATCTATAAAATTTATATTTAAAATATATTTAAATAATTTATGCGTTTTTCTTTTTTCTCTTTTCTTTTCTCTTTTTTCCTTGTGGAAAATTTTTTTTAGGTGAGAATAAACGAAAAGAAAAGATTTCAATTTTTCAATAATAAAAATTAAATATTATCGAAATGAAAAGTTGTCAGAAATCAATTTTCATTAAACAATGGATAATATTAAGTTAAATGAATTGGAGAATGCATACATAATGAATGTGTACATGTTAATAATATTGAATCTTTTTCATATATATTATATAAACAATAATTAATTATTAAATAAAGAATAATGTAACTTTTAAATAATTTACTTACAATTAACTAAAATATCAAATACAATAGATGCACGACCAGCGGTATTCGTTAAAATCATTTCATATGATCCAGAATCTAATTCAGTAACAGAATGAATTACTAAATGACGTCCACGTAAAGCATAAATTCTAGGTTTTGGACCATTTAACTTTGATTCATCTATCATTGAAGACGATGAAATTGGAGGCCAAATAGGAATTGATTGATGCTCATCTTTTTTATGCCATCTATAAGTAATAAAACTAGGTTAGTCATTGGTAATCGTCATGAAAATAGAAAAACGAATAGGGCTATTTTTAAATCTACACCCGCTTTTAAAGTTACGGTTTATTTCAACCACAATATTATTTCGTTATTGATTTCAATGTTGTTCTGATGTGAATGGATTAGTGACGGTTCTGTGATTTATTGGGAAATGATAAATCTCCATTAATAAAGTCTGACAAACTAACATAATAAAATATACAATTTGAACATTCCTACTGTTCTTTTAAAAAAATGTGTTGGTTTAACTCTTTTTTTAATATACATTCTTCTGAGTTTATGAGAAACTTTTATTCAGTGACAATGAATAACATAGATTACTAAATAAATGTATCATAGACACCACAACTATATAGTTTTATCAATAATCTAATCTCTTAAATTACCATTCATCTTAATTCCTTTGTTTTAATGAAAATAAAACCATTAAGCTTAGATTATGGTTACTATTTGTGAACCTTCAAACTTAGAAATCAAGTGAACATGGATTCAGCATAAATTATATAAATGATTAATGAATAAAACTTTATGTTATTATCTTTAATACCACTACAATTGTAATAATCATTATCACAAAATTGTAAACCATTTTTCATTATTTCAACAACAACAAGAACAAAAAATCAGATAAACATAATGTTACATTTATGTAACGAATATCACAATGAAACATTGAAATTATGATTATATTTGTTAAATGATCCTGATTAATAATTATAATCTAAGGGTAATTCACTAAGCATTGAATATTCGGTTATTATTTATGTGTAAATGTGTTTGTATTTGCAAATGTATATGAGTGTATGTGCATATACATATGTGTGTGTGTGTGTAAGTGCACACTTTTTTTTCTAATATTCATCTTGAATATCGAATAAGTACTTGATTGGTTTTATTATGGGCAGTTCAGAAAAAAAATTACAAAATTACCAGTTGAAATGTAACAGAATGTAAGTGAAAGAATTAATTAATTATTCTGAATAAAGAAGTTAATTTATCGGTGATACATGATCGTTAAATAAATTGATAAATACACATAATGTACATAAGTATACATGTCTGGTGATTCAACTAAACTGTAGTGAAAAAAAACAAACAATATAAATTGTTACAATAAGACTTGATCAAGAGAATACTGTGTCAGCTATTGCTTTGTTGCTGTTGTTCTGTTGTTTGTGTTTTTTTAAACAAACAATCTTGACAATTGAAACATTGCACTGAATTACATATTTATAATATATAATAATCATAGTCATCATAGAAAAGAAATGATAAAGGTGTATCGTATACATTTGAAACATATTTGAAACAATTATTCATTTAATACAATCATGTATAAGTTTGTTTTAGTCAAAGTAAATGTGAATAATCGAAAAAATTTGGTTACATGAATGAATGTATGAACCAGTTAGAAAATATGTTGACAATAAGGAATTGGAAACAAGAGATGGATCTTATGTTACAATTTATTATACACATAAACTAGACAGCTGGCTATATATTTAAGTCAAAATTATATTACTATAAAGAATTGCAGTGTATGAATCTAATCTAACTTTAAAAATTAATATTATTAAGCGATGAAGTTTCAAGGTTTCTAGTATGTTTAAAGTTGATTTCTCCAGGAACTAATCATTGGAAATTGTAATGCATCAGATAACTGTTTTATTCTAAATTCGATATTTCTGAGTTGTGTACACTAGCAATTTTAGGACTATTAGCCTATGTAGTATTCTGAACGATTTAATCGAACCGTTAGGTTGAAATTCTGTAGTTCACATTTTTGAATGTTAGTCAATATGTGGTGTAACATGATTCTTATTCAATGTCATTAGTAGGAGTATTTTTCTCACTTTCAAATTGATCATCTCGAGATCATGGTATCTCAACAACATCCCATAAATGTAGTTTTCAACAATATTAAAATGCATAACAAACGTTAAGATACAAAATGTAGAGCGGAATAATTTATTATTCACTTATATAGGATACTCCAGTAACAATTTGTTCTTTATAGGTTTCGGGTTATAGTATATGATATAGACGGTAGGAATCAGTGTGTTGAAGATCAGATTGAGTGAATGTGACCATAGAGAACTGTTCCAATTTCTAGATCATAACTTTTACAAATGTGCATTTATTTCTATAAAGTATTATTTCAGACTCGTTTACATAAACTATTTATGTCTATTAGCCTTTCTGTAAAATGTTCACAACCTATCAAAAATTTAATAGCTGAATAACTCGAGAACTAACAGATCGGTTCTAATATTTTCCCCCTCTTTCCTTCGAATAAACGAGTAGAGATTACCAAAGAATCCATACAACAAGTTTATTAAGTGACAAAAAGAGAAGTCATAGGAGTATAATTGATTAGAGATATTTAAGAATGAATGTAAGTGGTAGATTATCACTGATGGAAAAGATTTCATACATATTTTCTGAATAACCTCAGGTTAAGCACTTACATAAGTTTGTTCTTGTGGATTCTTTACTGCAATTGATCACATGCTATTGAATAAAGATTCTAGTAATATTACTATTATTATAAATATTATACATTGATCTATTTTAGCCATCTAAAATATGAACTTAAAATAAGATGAACACACTGATTAACAAAACTGTGACAAAAGAAATTTTGAACTATGCGTACAAATATATCTCTACTATAAGTTTACTTTATGACGTAACCATGGTTGAGATTGTTCAAGAGATTCAGGCATCTGATTTAATAATGTCACTCTACTCAACTAATAATAAAATATTTCATTTATCTACTAAATTTGTTATTAGAACATAAAGAGCATATTTCAATCAAAATGATAAAAGAACAATCAGCCAACATTTTAAAGCACTGAATCGCAATACATAAAATCTACTGAAACAATTGGTATTTGTAAATAAAGTCTAACAAGTTGATTATGTGTTTATCTATTGACATTTAAGTCGGATGATAACAATCATTGATTTGATGTATTTTCTACTGTTTTCTTTGTTATATAAGTAAATAATATACTGCTCTAATCAAGACAACAGCTATATAAATGTTCCTTTATTTTAAAAAAATACAAACACTTGCTTACATAATTTTTGGTGTTGGATTTGAGATCTGATCGGTAACAAATGAATTAGATGGTGATTCATCAGAATAATAACGTAGATTTGCATCTTCATTGATTCGAACAATATATGGTTGATTCTTTTTTAGACGAGGCGAAAAATTCGATCGCTTTGGGTAATAAAGAGCTAATAAATATAAAGAATAAAATGAATTTAAAAAATTTTTTATTACGTATTATTTGCAAGTAGATAGAATTTGATAAGAATAACATGGTAAGAAAAGATTACAGTCTTGTTTTATATTTTCCATATTGTAATTTGTTCCATTCAATTGAATCAAGTTTAAATGATAATGTAATTTTAAAAATATATATTCTCTTTATTTGTCATCACTAGTCTCTTTGTTAAAGAATACTAAAAGTGTAGTGAACGAGAGCATACGTAGGTACAATTGAATGTATGTGAATACAAAGTTACAGAACATTTTAGTAAAATCTGAGAACCATACAGTTAATACTTCATTTGTGAAATGTCAATTAATCGTCTCAGACTTCATTGTTCTTTCGTTTTCACACTAATCATTTTTTGTTCTCGTTCACTTTTATTTGATTTTTTTAGCGTTTTGTCTCCAGGCATTTCACTTTCGATTGATGATACATACTACTCGTATCAATCGACATCAGTAGCACGCACCACAAAAAGTATTAAGTTAAGCCTGAATGTAGGAGTTCAAAATAAACTTATTCCAATGGTTGAGATCATGAGTCAATTGAAGCTAGACCACTATGGAAAACCTGAAAGCATTGGATTACCATTTCGTCCTCTTTTGAGACTGGACGGCATTAGTGAATGTGTCGCTGAATTTCGTGGATTGGTTGAAGTTAGACACTAATATCGTTGAATCCCGGCTCAATAGTCTAGTGGTTAAGCGCTCGCGCGCGAGACTGATAGGTCCTGTGTTGGAATCTCGCGAGGCGAGGTCGTGGATGCGCATTACTGAGGAGTCCCATAAAAGAACGAAAAGGCCGTCTAGTTCTTCCAGGTTTTTCCATGGTGGTCTAGCTTCAATTGATTCATGATCACAACCATTGAAATTACTATAATATCCACAAAACCCTTCTGATAATCTTATTGTCAAACTAATTAATATATATAATAAAGAAACTAATCACTTTCTCAATAAAAAAAATCTACCTACATACATTTAACCAAGTAAGTAACCAGATAATATCGGTTCCATTTATAATTTAAATCTAGTAACCATGTTCATAGTGAATTATTACGTAACATTTAAAGTATAAAATCAATAGTTGTAAATTATCAATACCATTAAATGAATCAAAATTGAAATTAAAAAATGTTTAACTAAGAATTATCTCACGTTCAATCAATTCTGCTTATGGTTATATGAAGATGACACGACAAAAATGAGTTATTCTTATGAAAATAATGAGACAAAAAGCTAATAGAAGAAGAAACACAAATTTTGTAGTTTAATAAAACTAAAAATCGATTATTATCATGATTATTATGGTAGAATCCTACTTATTTCTTCCCGTACAAAAACAAAGCAAAAATATGGAATATTACAACAGAATCGAACATTATAAGCAAAGATGGATGGTTGGTGGCTGGCAGTGGAATTTAGGATACATGCTTCGTCCTATTTAAGACTCGTCAGCTTGACATAAATTGTTTATTTTAGGTTTAGTTTGATTCTATATCTCCTTCCATTCAACACTGTTGTTATTTTATTTTAAATTTTGGCGTTATGGAATTTTATTTGATGGAATTTCACAGTTGTATTTGGTTAAGAGTTAAAGAAATAGTTTAACTATTGCCTAATGATCGTGATAAACATTCAAGTATTAATTGTAAATGTTACATGAAATGCATAGGTGGATTAAAATGGAGTTTTTGTAATAATTAAACCTAATAAAGTATGACATAGAATACGAAAACAAGCAAATTTTACCAAAGAAGTCATTTTCGAATAGTAATATTTCTGTCTAATTGTATTATAAAATTAGGTATGCAAACTATGCGTACATTTTTAATCATGAAAATGGTACGCATAAAATAAATAAATATTAAGGATTACGAAACCTTACAAAGCTAAGTATTGTTGCTTATGACTGCTTACATTCCAATAGAATTATGAAATTACTTTTCTATATAAAATACAATATACAAGTAATTTCCTGCTGACTGTCTTTTTCTTCCTTCTTACATAAAATATGTAATATTGAACGTTGTAAATCTTAGCATCGGAAGTTCAATAACCGATCAAATCATATATATTTGTATATAGCAAAATATATAAAGTTTTAATGTGATAAACAGTGAAGAGTATATCACAGCTTGGATCACAAAATAAGAGCTATATATATTTCATTCTAAATAGAAACTTCAATATTAGCTTAGATTCTAATCAAGATATTTTTGGATATGTTATTATTGGAGATTTATGTTGCATTGACATCTTGTTTACATGTTAAAGCAAATAAAATTCAATTATTTTATGCATATCATTTATCATTTTTAAGAAAATGTTGAAATTCTTCAGTTTATAAATCACGATTTACTAGTTACTCTGGGCTGGTAGAAATTTCACCTAAATGGATTAAAATATTCCATTGCTTAGAATGTATATTATAAGAAGATCGATAATTCTTCTAGTTTGCTGTCGAAAATTTTAAATCGGAGCTAACCAACAGAAAATCATGAATCTAGTATTTCGCGTTAGTTGGCACTCTGGTAAAACTTATCCTTAATTCTTAAAAACTTGATAAGATCCAAACCAGAATGGAACCATGTTCCACAATGATAGACACGTTACCACTAAGCTATTTGGGTATCGGCTTATTTGCTATAGAAACTAGATTTTCATAAACTTATATGATCGTTTACTTATAACTAGTGTCATATTGTATAGTCATAAAAGGATTATATACATATATAGTGGATAATCAGAATGTTACTATTTATTAATGCTAGCGAAATCAAACGGAATTTTGATCAGCCACAGAATAACAATCTATTGATCCAAGCTCGACTATACATAACGATTAATCTTTTGAGACTACAACACATAAATGTTTTCGAAGTGAAGTTTCCACTATTTTCAGAAAATATAAAATATCGTTACAATTACATAACAAGCGTTTTTTAGTAATAACGAACTATTAATAATATGATGTCACTAAAAGGAAAGACTATGAAAGAATCTACCAAAGTTAATACACATACATAAAATATGTGCCGTTTAAGGATTAACTAGGAATAAACGAAAATGTTAAACTAAATTTCTTTTTAATATCTTGCCTAAAAGCACGCAGAAGTAGACATCACTGATGCAAACTTATAAGATGTAACTAATACAAACACTTTCACTTACAGAGTTTAATCTGTTCAAGTTATAATCGAGTAAATTTGTTGTTAAGATCATTGTGATCACCGTAGTGAAAATCCAATATCAACTATTTACGTAGATGTGGTACAATTAGTATATTGTACATTTTGATAAAAACTTTTAAAATATTAGATTATAGCCAGATTTCAAGCACTGAACTTTAAAATACTTGCTCTTTGTTTAAATACTGGATTATGTTTTAAAACGGTTACCCAAATCGAATGGAGACAAGATCAATTTCCTTCATTTTGTTTTATATTTGAAAAATAAGTAAAACTTAGTTTATTTTCTACAATAACTACAAATGACACTGGTAACTACTTCCTCTCAGTAATATAAATGTTCACAATTTCATCCAAAAAACAAACGAATATAGAATGAAATTGTCGATCGAATCTTAATGACCATTTTCAAAAAAAGATAGTGAGGTATGATATTAGTCTGCTGGACTGGAATCCATTTCATTGCATCCGTATTAAGGGCTAATTTAGTAAATGCAAGTTTTGATTCTCATTTATTTATTCATATGAAAAGTCTCCTACTTTAATTACGACAGCAATAACTACTGTCGCAATGCACACAATCTTTTAGGCACAAAAATTCATTTATGAGTTTCTCAATATCAACGATACTAAGAATGCTTTTGGGACATTAACTCATATGAAAAGAGATATGATCTAAAAAGGTGTACAATACATTGTAGTTCAAAATAGCTTTCAATGTATAGATTTACAAATAAAATTACTGAATCAAGATACGTAGATGATTATTCACGAATGATTGAGAATCCTTCGAATATTTAGAAACAATTTGATGATGTACTGCTTTGTGGAAGACAAACAACAAAATAGAAAGCATACTGTGGTATTTTCAGTACGCTCAACTGTAATTCTAAGCGTGAAAATTAATGTCTCTTGATAAGCTATATTTAAATGCATAGTGAATACAAATGAAATCATTTACATGAGTTAATGTTTTATAATTTAACGATTTCAAGCCTTAAGAAATTGTTTTAGTATAACTGTGTAGTGAAATGGTAAAGACAGTGTACTTAGATCATTGTAAGCTGCTTATCTAGTGTTCAATTGAACCACAAGATTAGCATTGACCAGCCCTTTTCTATTATCTCATAAGACGTAAAACATTCAGCACATACTACTAATAATACTACTACTTTAATTTAACTGATATGATCGTGTTAGGTATCAATAGCCAAGTGTAGTTCAGTTTACTAATTTCTCAATGTTGTCTAAATGATTTCTAATAATTTTCTAGTTGATGTCAATTCGTGAGAAAAATTATCTTGAAAATGTAAATCTACTTTTCATTCTACTGAACTTTCTCCGTATAATTATCGTTTTTTTTGTATAATAAGAATACAATTAATTGCCTTCGGCGAAAACAGAACTGACGTTCTGCTATCTAAATTAAATTAAAACTAATTTACAATTTTACAGAAAAGAAAATTTGAAGCCAACATTCAAAAATTATTTGTCTAACTTTTAGTTCTCAAATCAATACTGTTTACCTATATAAGTAATGACGAATGACTTGTAACTTCTGTAAGTAATTTTCAAGTTGAGTATCGATGAAAACTAGAAAGCATAGGACAAATAATGTTTTCATACTTAAGACTACATAACTGGTTTCATTCCAATAAATTATATGAATTCTTAACAAATCTCAGTTTACTTATCAATCTACTGTAAATAATTACTATCCTTTACCATCAAATCTCTCCTTAAAATTCAATATTAATCATCAGTTGACGTAA